AACAAATTGAAGTGCCATTTCTTGTTGCCCGTGAGGGAATCGAATGTCCCATAATTGGCTATAATGTTATTGAGTCCATTGTGAAAGAGTCTTCCAGTTACATAACTCCTCATGACACAGGAATCCCAATACTTGATCTGATGAGAGGAACATTTGTTGAAGTAAAAGAAGACAGTGTTAGTGCCTTAGTAAGTCTAATACAGACATCTGACAACCATGATGAGTTATGCATCACTAAAACACCTAAAAAAAAATAACAATACCAGCAGGATCGACAATGACAGTATCGTGTCGTGCAAATACAGGACCCATAAGCGAACGTACCCCTGTATTATTTGAGCCTGATGTTCTGGGTCAATGGGAGGATGGGTTAGAAGTTAGTGAAGGGTTGATGTATGTCAAGCAAGGGAACTGTTCTCAAATAAAAGTGACAATGCATAACCATTCAAGACATGACATCACACTAAGCGCCCGTACAACCCTGGGGTATCTGGAAGCAGTTAAGAGCCGCTTCGCGCAAAAACCAGACAAAACTGAAATTTTTTGGCAAGGCTCGAAAAATCAAATCTGTTCATATTTTGTATATTGGTAAGGTATGATTAGGTAACAATCGCTGTGTAATTGGTTTTTGAAAATATTTCATTTTTCGCAAGAAAATCGCGAATTCATGTCACATACTGGGCCTTTGCGTGACAGATGCTTGATTGCTAAAAATAGCTCTCAAAATAGCCAAACTTTATACCGAGTTCATGTAAAAACTAAAATAGCTATTTTAAAAATTTAAATTGCAGCTTTCTCACTAACTCTTTGATATTTATTTCAGTGATTTTCAGACCATTTAATTAAAAGGAAAATTTTCTGGAACTCGAAATATTCGCATATGTATTTTTATATGCAAATTAGTACCTTTACAAAACGATCATTTTTTAAACGTGCAAGTATTTTGTTTGCAATAAAATTCGGAGTGATTACTAAACAAGAGATGAGCTTTTCAAATACATAAAAATTAGTCTGGGCAAATCACTCTCAGTTGCATAGAAATGAATACTTCTGGCGATAATAATCCGTTGAAACACCAAATGTTTTAAACAACCGAAATTCATTTACATTGCCTAAAATGTTCAAAGAAAATA